GAATAGAGAGAGTGAGGTGGTGGAGGCTGAAAAGAAAAGATCAAAGAGGAGAGAAGAGGAAGATGGGGTCCAGGTGAGGAATCCTAAAGGTCATTATTAGCAGGGTTTGATCTTTCTGAAACTTTCCACAAAGAGGGCTGAGGAGAGTTTTGTTTGTTTGTTTTGGTGCCAGTACTGGAGCTTGAGCTCAGGGCCTGGACACTGTCCCTGAGCTTCTTCTGTTCAAAACTAGTACTGTGCCACTTAAGCCACAGCTCCACCTCTAGCCTTTTTGGTGGTTTATTGGAGATAAGTCTCACAGACTTTTCTGCCAGGGCTATCTGTGAACCATAATCTTCAATCTCAGCCTCCTGAAAAGCTAGGATTATAGGAGTGAGCCACTAGTGCCTGGCTAGGAGAACTTTTCTGTCTCTGTTCAGAGCCATCATTGTCCGGAATGGTGAAGTCATTCCTATGTCCAGGGAGTTTACCCCGGAGACCGAGCGACAGCGGCTTCAGCTACTTGTAAGTAGGACAAACTCCTTATGCCCATTCTTTGAGGCTTTACCTCTTCACTGTGTTCCTAAGAACTCTCATAGCCCTGACACCCATATCAAAGCTTTCTGGGGACAGGGCAGCTGTGTGGACTGTGGAGAGCAGGGCTGAGCTGGTGGGATAATGTAGTAGGAAGGAGCCTGGGCTGGCCCAATGTCCATACTGTGACTCCAGCTGAGAAAGAGAGTACAGTCAGAAGTGGGATAAAGGAACAGCAAAGGTCCTTGACTCAGTAGGGTTTTGTTCTTCAACACATTAACTCTGCCTGGGATCACATCCTGGTTTCTATGTTTTGCTGATAGTGGGAACTTTTGACAATTACATTAACCTCTGTATAACCTCTGTATATCATGGGTTGGTGTGAGGTGTGAGTGAGTTAACATATGTTAACAGTCAAACAGTGTGTGGCATGTGGTAAACTTTATATAAAGATCTCCTATAATTAACATCATTTGTATGTTGTACCAGGGTGTCATGAATGTAATATGCCATCCTTGTGCTCTGACTGGCCCTTCTCAACCTCTTCAGGGCTTCCTGAAACCAGAGCTGCTGGGCAGTGAATTCACCCACCTCGAGTTCCCCCGCAGAGTTCAGCCCAAGGAGCTGGGCCAGAGGATGCTTTACAGGGACCAGAACATGACTGGCTGGTAACACTTCCCTCAGAGCTGGGGCTGTTCCCATGACAACACAACCAGTCCCTCACCAGCAGCTAGGTGGAAGCTGATGCCTGGGGGCTGGGGGGGGAGGATGCGGTCCTTCCAAGGAGGGGTGTGCAACCACTAGTAAAGAGGAGTTTGGCTGCACAGTGATGCTTCCTCTGTTCCCCCTTCCCCAGGGCCTACAAAAAGATCGAACTGGAGGATCTCAGATTTCCTCTGGTGTGTGGGGAAGGCAAAAAGGTAAACTCCATAGTAGAGGTGGGAGGAGGGTGGAAGAGGGCAGTGGGCCCGCTTTCATTTGTCTAAGAAGGTGTAGGCTCTACCCCAGGGTAGAGGATGGGAGGGATCTATGGTTTTCGGAGAGTCTGTGAAAGGCCGAACTAGCAGCACCCCTCCTCATTTCCCTCAGGCCCGGGTGATGGCCACCATAGGGGTGACCCGGGGCTTGGGAGACCACAACCTTAAGGTCTGCAGTTCCACCCTGCCCATCAAGCCCTTCCTCTCCTGCTTTCCTGAGGTGAGCACTCCATCTTTACTCAGGCGGGGGGGGGGGGGCAGGGAGAAGGGAAGGTCCTCCAGCTGGCTCACACCCAAGGTCTCTTAATCTGAACTGCAAATCCCAAACCCCACAGCTCAGTTCTTGCTACTCCTTTCCCATCAGGTACAAGTATATGACCTGACACAGTACGAGCACTGTCCAGATGATGTGCTAGTCCTGGGAACTGATGGTTTGTGGGATGTCACCAATGATTCTGAGGTAGCCACCACTGTGGACAGGGTGCTGTCGGCCTATGAGCCCAATGACCCCAGCAGGTAGGGGCTGCATGGCCTAGTGATGAGGGGATGGCAAATGGTGACAGAAGGGCAAAGGGAAGTAAGGCCTACTTGTGGGCCTTTGTATCTGGCTTCTCATATACATGTTAGAACATGAGTGTGCACATGTGCTCCTGGCAGGTATACAGCTCTGGCCCAAGCTCTGGTCTTGGGGGCCCGGGGCACCCCCCGGGATCGTGGCTGGCGTCTCCCAAACAACAAGCTGGGTTCCGGGGATGACATCTCAGTCTTCGTTATCCCCCTGGGAGGGCCAGGCAATTACTCCTGAGGGGCTCACAACCCCATTGTCCCTACTACCATCCTAGCCTCTTCATACCCACCCCTCTCCCAGTCCAAATTCTGAAGTTGTCTCCTTAACTCTTCCTTAGTGGTCATTTACAGCTATTGGCAAATAAACCAGATGGATAAAAGTTTTGTGTGTGTGTGTGTGTGTGTACGTGTGTGTGTGTCTTTATTTTCTCTGACTAAACACTGAAAAGTATGGAAAAAACTCTTTGGAGTGATAGAAAGAATATTAATAGTCCTATGTTTCTCTAGGTCTGTCTTCTGTTATGCCCTCTTCCCACTTCCTGCATTTGCTGGGAGTACTTGCATCAATCTCTGTGACTTCATCCATCTGCCTTCTTGTTTCCAGCTGAACCTTTTATAGATTCATATATCCCAGTTATCTCCCACACATCTAGACAGGAGACAGCCTCAACGTGCCTCAACATACCTCAAACTGAACTTGTCATTTCCTCCCATAAATATGGTCCTTCTCCTTCATCCTCTCAGTGGGCACCAACTTGGCTGCTCAAGTTAGAAATATTGGACTTGGTTACTATCAGGAAGTGATGTTTCAATAAATCGCCTGCATATATGACAGTATATACCAGATTGCCTAGGTGTGTACTAGGTGGTTCCACTTGTATAAATATGCTATATGGTATGCTGGTCACACAATGAAATCACCAATGAATTTTTCACAATACCCTCACCATTGAGGAATGTATGACTGTACTGTTGTATATATAGATATATAGCTACTGGAGTCTGAACTCTTAGCCTCATTCTTGCTAGGCACCCTACCACTTGATCCATGCCCTTAGCCCTTTTTAAAATTTAGTTTAGTTTTTGGGTAGGATCTCACATGTCTCCCCCTGCCTCCCCATACACACACAGGTTGTCCTAGGTTTCAATCCTTCTGGACCTCCCACATGTCTTGCTTTTTTTGCCTGGGCTGGGCTTAAACCATGATCCCCTCAATCTCCACCTCTGGAACAGCTGGAATTATAGGCATGAACGATGCCTGACCTTGATTATATATTTAAAAAATGGTATTTGCCCACATATCATCACTTCCATTGTCACCTTAGTTTTTTTTTATTAAATAAGCTTCTTAACTTTAATGGCTCTTTATTATAACTAGAACAGAATTTATATTCAGTCCCTGAGACTGTTCTATAAGACTGTCACATAAGACCTTCATTATCTAGCTATCTATTATAGCCTTCTCTAGTTTCATGAAGATCCTCACCACCATCATCACAGCTCTTCTGGAATTCCCAGAGCTCTGTGGGCCTGTAGTGGCTCCAACTTTATTTAAAACCTACACATTCCTTTTTCTTGAATACTTCACCTGTCCAGGACTGGGCATTCCACAGCCCATGCATGCCCTTCATGGCAATTACCTCCTGGATTATAACAGCTTATCAAAGAGCTACAGAAGTAGAAGTTAAAAGAGCAGAGACTCCAGAGTCCAGCTGTTTAGATTCTGGTGCCAGACTTGACATTGGCTCTGTAAGTCCTTTGAGACTCCCTTTTGCAGTATCAAGCAGATCACAGTGCTGCTTTCTAAGGTTGCTATCAGTTAAGTTGTGAGTATGTAGAGCAAGGTCCATGTAATAATTTAATAAATGTTAGCTATCTTGGAACTGTCTTTATTTTTTTAATATTTGAATTTTTTCCTCTTTTAATTTTACTTCTTTGCTTTTTTTTTTAATTTTTAGTTTATGTGGCACTAAGAATCAGACCCAGGGCTTCATGTATGCTAGGCAAGCACTCTACCACTAAGCCACATTCCCAGCCCCTGTCTTTATTCTTTAGGCTGTAAATGGTTTGAAGGCAGAAATTCACCTTGGCACCTAATGTTCAGTTCACAATAAAAGTTCATTGAGCATATTAAGAGGCCTGTTAGAGCACTGGTGGTTCAAGCCCATAATCCTAGCTACTCAGAAGCCTGAGATCTTACTATGGAGGTTTGGAGCCAACTCAGGCACACAAATCAATGACATTCTTAGCACCAACTAACTAACAAAAAAAACTGGAAGCAAGAAGTGGCATAGCTCACGTGGTAGAGTACTAGCTAAGCAAGAACATTAAGCACAGAGTCAAGCATCAGTACACACACACACACACATACACACACACACACACACACAGAGGTCTGGTGAGCAAATTGCTCTGTGCCCCAATTTCCTTTTTTTAAAAAAAATAGATGTATAGTATCAGGTTTTTAAGATCTATATGTCTTCTAATATGCATTCATTAAATATGTGCCCCATACTGGCTAGACAGTGATAGGCAAGACACAGGCTCAACTGTCAATTCTTGCTGCCACTGATTGCAAACATTTGCAGAGCCACTTTTGTTAGTTTCCTACCTTCTTCCCTCTCTCCCTACCTCCCTCTCTTCTTTTCTTCCTTCCTCTCTCCCTTCCTCTTTCTTTTTTGACACCGGGTCTCACAATAAAACCCAGGATGATCTTGAATTTACTCTTTAGTCTAGGCTGCCTATATGAACTGGAAACCCACCTACCTCAGCCTCCCTGTGTTGGAATTACAATGCTGCCAATGCTGGTGGCCATACAGGTGATGTGAACCCAACCCATGCCAGGCAATCACTCCACTACTAGGCTACATCTCAACTACTTTCCCAGTTCAGCTATGAAGCATATTAAGCACAAGCTAATAAAATGTTGGCAGACTTCCTCGCCTCCCTCCACCTCCTCAGGGTAGGTGAATACCCTGTGCAACGCGCCAGTCGGTGGAGCAATAGTAATGGCAGGGTAATAGATCCGGAGTGGGGAGAGTTCCCAGCGGGGAGCCGGAAGCCTTTCCACAGGGGGCTCTGAAGACTACGTAGGAGCTGGATTCAGAAGGACAGGACTCGGGAGACAGAACAGAATGGTGGTCGGGACGTGTAGATCCTGAGGCCTTCAAAGGCTGGGACTGCCTCCGGCCATCCCGGCCCGGCCTGGGCTCCGCGCGCGCGGCGGCGGCGCGTCCCCTGCGCGCTCGCCCCATCCCCATCTCCCGAGGCCCGAGTGGGGCTGTTCGGCCGCCGGAGGGCAGCCTCGCCCTTCCTGACCCCTCTCCCGGAGCCTCTCAACTTTCCCGACGCCGGTCCGCCCCGAGGGGCTGGAAGGCAGGGCCCAGGGTAAATCCTCGGGGTATGGGGTGGGGCCCTCCGGCTTCCCCCACGCCCCCAATCGCCGCCCCTTCCTTCTCCGCCGGGGCATCTCTCCGTGCCACCCCGGGGCAGCGCCCGCCGCGGCCGGGGGCAGAGGCAGAGGCAGGGGCGGGCCGAGCTCAGGGCCGCCCCCCCTCGACCCTCCCCCTGCCGGGCCCGCCCCTGCCCGCGAGGGCGGGGCGCCCCCTCCAGCCCGCCCCGGTCAGTCGCAGCCTCCGGCGCCGGCCGCGCAGCTGGAGCCGGCCGAGCAGAAGGTACTAGGGTGGGGGCGGGGTGGCGGGGCGTCCCCGGTGCTCCTTCCCCGGGGTGCGCTGTTCCCAGGGAATGGAGCTCGGGGCGCGGCCGGGGAGAGGGGTTGCGCCCCCTCCCCAAGCGGAAGCACGGAACCCCGGTAACTGCCGGGCAGGGGTTCGACCTCCCCGCTCCCTCCTGGCCTCCCGCGCTCCCGCTCCGGCGGGGCGGCCCGACGTGGGGCCGGGGCCGGCTGGGGTGGGAGCTCCCCCAGGCCGGGAGGGTGGTGGAAGCGGGAATGGGGCGGGTGTGGCCCGTGCGGACTGACAGCCGAGGGGGTCTGTCGCTGCCTCGGATGCTGGGGTGGGGGGGGACAGCTGAGGTAAGGGATAGGGATGACCGAGGGGGATCCTCTGTGTGTGTGTGTGTGTGTGTGTAAAATTCTTGCCCTTCCTTCACACTCCCAAACCAAGCTAAAAGACTATCCTGCATCGGGGGAATCCGAGGCCCTGAGCTTCCCACACTTGTGGCTTTAAAGGGGAGGAAGAGCGATCTCCAAAGGACCGATTCCTTCCCCAGACTTCCGAGAAGCAAGCAGGCAGGGTACAGGGCCCCCTGGGTTATCTGGAGAATGGTTGAGGAGAGAGCTAGAGGATCCACAGTATCTTGTCTCAGGGAAGTTTCCAGACATTCCAGGCCCCTCTCCAGACTCCACTCCAGGCCCAATGTGAGATTTAGTTGCCCCTTTTAGGGTCAATGGAGCAGATCCATGGGGGTTGCCTCTCACAGGGAGCTGTTGTCTTGCCATCTTGGCCTTGCGCCTACTGGCCTGGCCTAGGTTGCCAGCTCCTGTCTTTTGGCCTAACCAAGAAAGTCTTCTAACTGGGCTGGGCTATCAGGCCACTCAATGAGTGTCACTGACCCAAGTTCTGGCCTCTACTTCTACCCATCTGATGCCAGCTGCCTTCCTGGGGTCCCGCAGTGCACACTTATGCTTAAGTGACCATAATTGTGTATTCAGCACAGTGATTGACTTGTAGCAGCACTGTCCACTCGTGGTTGGAACTATTGCCAGCCTATCTGTACAGTTGGGGTTGGAAGAAATCCTACAAATGGACCACAGTTACCGGGTAGACTTCCAAAGGACCCCTCTTTGGAGAGAGCCTGCTGGCAGCGGCAGGCTGGATGCCTTCTTGACTGCCTTCTGGGGTTCCATCAGAGAGTCTCTTTGTGGTGGGGGAGAGCGTGCCAGTGTACTCTCAACTCCTATAAATTCTCTGTGATTCATGTCCTCTTCCCCACTTGCAGTTTTTTGAATGTGTGTGTGTGGAGATGAGGGCGGGGCCACCCCAGATCCTGGTTGAGGAGAATCAGCCTGGGGCTGGAGAGTTATGCTTCCTAAAGGGCGGGTGGTGAGTTCATGAGGTAGTAGTGGTGGTGGTGGTATGCCTGAGTAAAGCAGTTCAGCTCAGCCTGACAGGATGTGGGACTGAGAGAAAAAAAGCCAGGTTTGGAGCTGAGATCAGATTACCTTCCCCAGTTTAACTGCTCCCTGTCTGGGTGGTGCTGGGACTGGCCTCATTTGTCTCTTTTGAGGCTCCTCCCAGCCCAGACTCCAGCCCCTTCCCCTTTCCCAACAGCTCAACAGCCCTCCCTCTTCCTCCTGGACTGTAGGCTTTGGAGCTTCAGCCCTTCCCTAGGCAAGGAGGAAGTGAGGGAAGCAAGCTGTGAAGGTGATGAACTGCAGGTGTGAGGAACTAACTGCTTGTCCCTGTGTGTTGTGGAGAGGGACACAGGCCTACTCAAGGAAGCTGATTCCCTCCCCTGAGTCACAGGGAGGGGTGGGCAGAGCCTAAGAGCGAGCTGGGCCGGGGAAGGAAGGGGCTGCGGCAGAGTGGGTGGAGGTGATTTCTCAAGTGGATTCTCAGTCGCTGCTGTGGTGGATGTGACTCCCTACAGTGTGGTCATTGTCCCCTGCTGAGAGCTGAGTGACCTAGTGTTGGTGCCAGGCCGGGGAGGAAGGGGAGGGGGGTGCAGACTGCCCGAATGCAAGAGCTGTGGGCACTGCCAGGACTGAGCCTGCTTTGTGTGACTGGAGGCTTTGGGGAGAGGGTGGGGTAAGTCCAGGGAAGACGGCTGGCTGTTGCCACTGTCTTCTGTTTGGATTTCACTGCTTCTGCTCGCCTTTCCACCTGTGAAGTGACATGGAAAGATGGCACAGACTACAGCCACACAGCCCCACTTTGAGTGTTGTCTCTGGAGATTAGGTGCCAGACTCTTGAATCTCATGACTAACCTTCACTGAGTCTTAATTTCCAAGTGTGTCACAGTAGGCAGTATACCATCACCTGGCAGGTACCTGGGGACTGAAGAGCTTTTCATCCAAATGCCCAACATAGTGTGGGACACCTAAGGACGCTACAAATACGTCTGGCCTTACCCATCCACTACCTATATCTGGTTCTGCTGGTCTTTAGTCTTGAAGAGGAATTCCTGTGATGAGGCAGGCATGGCTACTGCACAGGACAGTCTGTACTAGATTGCATCGTAGTGATTAGTAACCTTTAAATGTATCAGAATCCTGAAATTCTTTTAACAACTGAAGAAGTCTCACATAAAAACTCCCCTATGCAAAGCAGATAAAAGCTGACTCTTTTTGGAGCCTAGGTGTCTAGGCTCCCCCAGCTGAATGAATGAATGAAACACATTTTCTAGCTCTAAAGTATTGGGCTTGTTCTGCATCCCATTTCTCTATTCTAACCCAAAGGGGGAGACATGTCCCTCACCAGAGACCAGGAATTCCAAGGTCTTCTGCTTACAGGATTGGTTTTGGGAAGACTGTACCTGGGCAAGTCCACTTTTCTCCCTTCCTTTCTTGAAGGCTGGGGAAGGAAGAGCGTGGAGGGGTAGAGGGTGGCCTAGAAGTGATCTTTGCCTGACACCATTGGTTCATAGCTGTAAAACTTAGCTACTCTGGAGTCTGAGAGCCGAAGCTTGAGATCCCAAGCCAGCTGGTGAAGGAAAGTCCATGAGACTCATCTGCAGTTAACCAGCAAGAAGCTGGACGTTGAACTGTAGGTCAAGTGGTAAGAGTACCAGCCTTGAGCAAAAACGTTAAGGATGAGTTTAAGCCCCTGTTCTGACAATTAAAAAAAAAAAAGTGATTTTCCCCCCTCCCAAATCCCCTATGCTTGTCTGTCACCCTAGCTATGGCTGCAATTCGGAAGAAGCTGGTGATTGTAGGAGATGGTGCTTGTGGAAAGACCTGCCTCCTCATCGTCTTCAGTAAAGACCAGTTCCCAGAGGTCTACGTCCCTACTGTCTTTGAGAACTACATCGCTGACATTGAGGTGGACGGCAAGCAGGTGAGGGCTAAGAACCTCTTTCTACACTATCTTGGCACCTTGCCATGTATGGGCCTAGTCTGTCCTGCCTTACCGCCCACACTAATCTGCTTCATTCTGCTTCCTGGAACCAGTTCAAAGTTGGGGAAGATAAACTGTAACCTTAGATAATCTGGATGCATGCTCTGGTTCTACCACATACTGGCTGTTTAAGCTGGACCAAAGTTTTTTGACTCAAGATTTACACACACACACTGCAAAATGGAGATGATAGCAAGAGCTCCCCCCAGAGTTGATGGAAAGGTGAAATCGAATAGTGCTCACATGGCCACCAAACCTGTTTGTGGGAGAGGGGCAGCCGGGTAATGGCAGTACTGGAGCCTTAAATCTTTCTTGGCTGTTTTACCCAAGGATATTATTGCTCTACCACTTAAGTCACATCTCCACTTCTGGCTTTTTGCTGGTTAACTGGAGGAAGGAGTCTCAAGGACTTTTTTGCCAGGATGGCTTTCAACAGTGATCTTTAATCTCAGCCTCCTGGGTAATTAGGATTACAGACATGAGCTACCAGCACCCAGCTTCAAACTAGATTATTTTAGAGCTAGTTTGTTGTGTGGACAGTACTCAATAGATGTTCAATGAATTTAAAGGCCAATGGTTTTAAGAGAGGCCCTCTGGGTGGCAAAGGGTTGGGACCCTACTCACTGGCCAGCTACTCACTGGCCCTTGTATGTCAGGTGGAGTTGGCTCTGTGGGACACAGCAGGACAAGAAGATTACGATCGCCTTCGGCCTCTCTCCTACCCAGATACTGACGTCATCCTCATGTGCTTCTCTATTGACAGCCCTGACAGCCTGGGTGAGCTTCAGCGGGATTGAGACCCCTGGAATCAGCCATCTTCAGAGGCTGTTTGGGGTGGGGGTGGACTCTTCCTGTGGCAGCGGTGGCCATGGGGAAAACTTGGGGAAGATGGGGTATGGGAGGGGTTTTGAGCAGTAAAAGGAATTGCCATGTTGAATAGTCTGATACTGCCATGGATAGACCAGGGGCCTTTTGCTAAGCGGAGATACTGACACCATTTGGGACATGTCTGTGCAGAAAACATTCCTGAGAAGTGGACTCCGGAAGTGAAACACTTCTGCCCCAATGTTCCCATCATCCTGGTGGGGAATAAGAAGGACCTGAGACAAGATGAGCATACCAGGAGAGAGCTGGCCAAGATGAAGCAGGTGCATGGACCACCCTTGGGGCAGAAGGGACCCTCTTATGGGTAGCAGGCTGGTACCAAAGGCAGCCTTCTTAGTTGAGTCCGCAGTGTTTAGAGTTGACTTTGGTCATCTACTCCTTGTCTACGCCATGGCAAGAACCTGAAGAGCCCTTGGTATCTGATTAAATACCAAGAAAAGTGACTTGTCCAAGGTCACGTGGCTCCTTCATTTTTTCTAGTTTAGTCTGTTTTCCAAACTGAGCCTATTAAGACAGACCTTGTCCTCAGAGATAGCTGTCCATCCCTTGGAGTATACAAGCTGTGTCAGTGGCACACCTGGAGACAGAAGGCACTCTAAGAAGGTCCATAGAGAGTGAGGGAGAAAGAGCCAGAAGCCATTTGGGGATGTGCTAAGTGGCTGTCCAGCCAGAGGACTACTTTATCAGAGGAAGCTGCCAAGATGAAGAAGTTGGACCGTACTGGGAAGATAATTATGACAGTATTTTAAACTGGGGATGGATGTCACGTGTTAGGAAAAAATATGGCAGCTGCAGTATGAATCAAGTCAAGGAGCTTGGTTAGGGAGTGGCCACTTGTTTGGTAGGGTGTAGGAGCTGGATGGAAAGAGAGGGAATAGATTGGGAGGATTTAGAATGTAGTCTTAGGTCCCTGGCCTGAAAACCCTGGGCTGGCCAGGGCTTGGGTGCTTTGTGGGGTTGGATCAAAGTTCTCCAGTCAAGTTCTACTTATTAATGGTATCCTAGGGAGAAGCAAGCCTAGCACTAGCTCCCTTTAACCTCTCTTATCTTCTGTCTTCTCAGGAGCCTGTTCGGTCTGAGGAAGGCCGGGATATGGCAAACAGGATCAGTGCCTTTGGCTACCTTGAGTGTTCTGCCAAGACCAAGGAAGGGGTACGGGAGGTATTCGAGATGGCCACAAGGGCTGGCCTTCAGGTTCGCAAGAATAAGCGCCGGAGGGGCTGTCCCATTCTTTGAGACACCTCTGAAGGCCTCCCAACCCTTCTTTACACAGGAGTAACCAATTACTCACCCACCCAGACTCCACCTTTGTAGAACTCTGCACTAAAGGCTTCCTTTGCAATTTGCATCTGCCCATGACTGCATCAGATTTCCCCAGCTCCAAATGGTGATGGTGGGTTCTCCTCTTCCCCTTCCCTGTCTTCTGGGAACTTCCTGGCCCGTGTCCTACCCTTCCTGAGCAGGATCTGTGGTCCTGTTACCTTGGTCCAGGGGTGAGGCTCCTGTTCCCTGTGGCCTTCCCCAAAGGACAGTCACACCAGCACTTTATACACTTCTGATGTCTAGGGTGGTGAATTGGGGTTTCTGCTTTGGGCATGGCCTTGTCTCTTGACTGTACTTGGTAGAGGCATGAATAAAGGCTGCAGGTTCTAATGTGTGTGGCATCTTTCTGTCTTTCCTGGTCCCTAATTTTGCTGCAAGCCTAGAGTCTCGTCTTCATTCATTTCCAAGTTGCTGGCCAGGCTGGCCCCATTCGGAAAGGCAAAGGCGGGACTGAGGCAGGGTGGAGTCTAGAGCAAAGGGATGAGGTCATGGCTGGCTGTGAGCCCAGGAGATGGATGAGGGAAGTGATCTGTAGTGGGGGCTAAACTTAGAAATCTGTGTGGCTTCCCTGCCCACTGGATTTCCTCCCTTGGAAATGGGGGGGGAGGGGGCACCTCTGGGCAGACCTTAACAGTCTCACCCTCCAGTAAGGGTCATTTTGGGGGCACAGGAAGTTGGGGGTGGGGCTGAGGAGACATAAGCAAGAGGCTTTTGCATAGAACAAGATTTTGTTTTCAAGAGTTTTTCTTCCTCCCTTCCCCCAAGTGTTAGCAGCTTGGTATGTCACTCTCCCCAGCAGGGGAGGGGAGGAATGGCTTGGGTTGTAAACTCCCTCCCCAGCCTTCCTGTCCTTCCCAGGGGCAGCTGGGCTGGGTTCAGGTTCAGGGTTGGGCAGCGGTTAAGGCTTGGCTGGCGTGAGAAAGCTGGCAAAGGCAGGCAGCTGCATCTTCAGAGCTCATTCCTCCACTCTGGCTCCACTTGCAGGCACAAGCTCCCTTCACCCTCCCTCTCCTGGGGGAGGTAGTCACGGCAGTGGGGGCCTTGGAAGAAAGGAAGTATACTTTTTGTCTTTTTTTTTTTATCCCCCTCTTTTCTTTCCCTAGATGTCCCTGGACCCTTCATACCTGAGGTAGAGGGGCTGAGCTTGCTCAGACCTAGGAGTGAGTTCTGTCCCTGCTGCAGGTCCAGTTTGGCAGGAAAGGGGCACCCAGTATACCCTCCGTTTTCTTTACAGAACTCCAGGAATCTGTGGGTACAAGGATGTTGGCACATGACACTAGGCAGGCCTGGCTAAGTAGTACCGGAGATGGTGCATCATCGGAGGTGGAGACCAGAGGCCAGGCCCCAGTCATCAAAGGTACACAGCCCATACACATACAGTGAGGCCTAGCAGAAGCATAAGTAGTTGGCTAACAAAGACACATAGTCTAGGCTGGGCTAATGGCCACCAAGAAGGATTTATGGGGTGGGAATGCTCACGCTTTCCAGTCGGGGTCATGGCCCAGGAGAAGAGGGTTGCCTATTACGATGAGTAGAGCCTTGGCCCGGGTCACTGCCACATTGAACCGCTGGAAAAGAGGTGCTGAAGTTACTGAAGGATTCTGAGGAAGGAATAATTCCTGCCACCCACCAGTCCTCAAACCTTAGGGTTCTTAAGGAAACCCAGGTTGAAGTCCAGGTCCAGTTGCACAAAACCCTGGCTGCTTCGCACAGTGGAGATGAGGATGACACTTCGTTCTTGCCCTTGGAATTCTTCCACGGAGCCCACCTAAGATGAGGGTTGGCAGGGCCTGAGGCCAGGTGGGCTCAAGGGGAACAGGCCTGGGGTGGGGGCGGTGAGGAGGGAAGGGAAGGGGCGCCTTGTTCTGCCAGGATGGTACCAAAGTCACAGGGAAGCTGTGATGGCCAGGAAAAGGGGACAAGAGGTATACCATGGAAGCTGAAACCTATTCAGCTATGGGGTGGACCTGGAAAGGGTTCAAAGCAAAGCAAACATGGCCAAGACTACTAGTAAGTGAGCAGTGTTTCTGAAACTTTTCTGAAGATAATCATAAGTCCTACCCTGGTAGGATCATAACAACCCTGGGTATAATCCAGAACTCCTGATCAGAATTGTAAGGGAGAGGCCTCTAAATCATAAAGCAGTGGTTTTCAACCCTGGCTGCACCTCAAATCACCTGAGGAGCTGTAAAACATACCAGTGCTTTGGCTCTGC